CAACTGATCAACTAAAAAGATTCATAGTTGCAAGTTTAGTGGTGCCAGCTCTTTCTTTGTTGATTTGTTTTTGTGTTTCCAAGGAGACTAATGATTGACATAAATTCTCTTCTTCAAATATGCGATCCCTATACATCTGGTGTAATTAAACATTGAACATAAAGTTTATCTGCCAACGTGAAAAGAGATTCTACCTGCGAATACAGGCAACTGTTTGGTTTTTTGTAATAAATGGGAATATTTGCTAATGTTGCCTTGACTACATCACCAAATGGAGAACTTAAAAAAATAATTTTACCTTTACTTTCTATTTTTACGTAAGGAGTTAATGCTGTGTTCAAAATTATTATTTCCATACCCAAATCTTTTATTGCTTCTACTTGCTTGCCTTCAACATAAATAGTAATAATTTGCAAAGGACATACTAAATTTTTCATAAGGACACTTGCATAAGCAACAACCGCATAGTCTTTCAGTTTACTTGAAGTGTTAACTTTCATTTTTACTTGCATATTATCATTTTGTTTATTGAACCTATTAAATATATTTCACCTATTCATATAATCTTTAGTCTTTAGTAAACTGCTACTACAAACGTAACATTCTTGCAGGTAAAAAGAATGTTTTTTTTTCATTTACCATTGAACGTTTTCTTGGTGCTAGTGGAATATATTTAAAATTCTTGCTGAATGCATCACAATAACTGGCACATTTTTCACCTCTTATCTCAATGAAAGATGTACCTTTTGCAGTGAAATATCACATTCATTTGCAAATTCTTCCAGCCAACGTTCTCCTCGCTGAACTGCAATATGGGATGCCAGATCATTATCCAATGTTTGAAAAAGTTTATATGAAATAATTAAGCTAATTAAAGACTCAAAATCATTGATGTTTCTGCTTTTACAATAATGTACTCAATGTGACCTTACATGAATGCAAACTGCAAATGAGTTTCCTCCACTAATCTTTTAGCTTGGCAAAAATTTTCTAAACATATAATGTGATGATTCACATTCCTTAATAATTAAAAATCTTTAATTTTTTCATAATCTTTGCAATCATCATCATCTTTAATATATACTATTAGAAGATTTGATACTTTTCTGTTACGCACCTTCCATGCTTCTTGACACCCGTGAAAGAGAAGCCAAATCCATGCTGACATCGAACGATAGTGCCATCTGGATTATTATTACATGTGTGTTTGTGTATCTATTAGCTATTCTTATAATTAGAAACTGTCTACAATTGAAAACCCACCAAAATGTGTCACAGGTGCATAAAGGGAAAGTACCAAAGATTTGTCACCTATCAATTTTAGTAAAATTTCTAACGTACATAATTCATTTGGTACATTCTTAAGCTCAAAAGAACTTTATTGAATCAAAACATAAATTCCATACTTTGTTTAGTTACAGGAATTAATACTGTCTGTACAGCTTTTTCCTTCACCAAAATGAGATCACAGCTTTTAATTACTTTCTTAAACATACTTACAAGCAGTCTTCTAAAAAATTATAATAAAAATTCTCGCCTTGCTGTGATATACAATGACTTTCTATTTTCTCTACATTAGCATAAGATGAGCATGATTGTCTTGCTTGACAACATGACAGAGTATCACATCCAAGATAAAATTAATTTCAACGCTTTTTTATTATCTATAAACATGACTTCATGTAGAGGAATATTTACAGAGCTTAATAAAACATAGTTTAAGGAAACAACCATAGATTTAAATGTTTTTAACTCAGGTGCTGTCTCAGTGCCCCACTGGGTAAAAACTAAACTCAAAAACTCAGATGCGAATACTCTACCAAAGTTCTTGCAGACAACTCCTAACTTCCATTGACTGTCTGTCTCCCTTGCTGTTTCTTCACTGGCAATAAGGAGGAAGTTGATTGTCTAACAGTCGAGAGATACATGAAAGTGGCTAAAATTGGTAAACCGAAAGTGTGCTTGAAGTGCTGAACAGACTTTCAGAAAAATATATACTATGGGATAATCCAAAACTTCTCAAATTCGATATTTAAAATAGGTATTTGATTGAGAACATATAATAAGCATAAAATGTATTCTTGGAATTATGCTAAATGCAATGAGAATAATCTCATTATTAAGAAGAGCTCTCCTTATGAATGCAATGAAATACAGTAGCCTCAATCCTTAATTTTGTGTTTATTTCACTTTTGCATCAAATCACTTTTTAAATAAAATGATGCTGCCACAATGTTACTATTATGCACTGTTTAAGAAATTATATAGCAAATGTAAATAATATAGCAAACATAAAAAAGAAGTGTATGGCAACACTTACTCACAATATTCTATCAAAAATTCTACAGATAGACTGCTTTTAAGATTTTTTTTATGGTTGTCATTGATTTGTGCATCCATAACTAAGAACCAGAGAATATACTTTTTTCATATCAATGGATGAGAATGGATGTGTACATCAGCAAGTAGAGTTATCATTGCACACTGTATAGAAGAAATTAATAACAAAAAATAAGCAATAAATAAGCAAAAAATAAGTTTATAATTAATATTGAGCCAGAAAGTTTATGAAGAGATTAAATTTTATTTACAAACAATCACCAGAAGTGACAGTTTTCTTTAAGTTTGTTACTATTTTCATAATTCCTTGTCTGAACATGGAACTGGAATAAGGTCATGTATTAATTTAGAAGTCAAACAACAAAAATCAACGTTACATTTGCAAATTTTCACAGGACTAGTTTTGATAGTTTTATCGAACCATTATCTTCGGCTGCCAAAGTGCAATGCATTCATAGCAACATAATCTTAAGCTAACCAAACACATTTTACAAAACATGCAAATGTGTTTTGTGATGTCCTTTCCTATAAAAATAATTTACTTTGGTAGTTACATGTAAATGGAGAACTGGCTAGCTTTGGAAGTAATTTTATACAATAATTTTTTTTTTACATTTTGGGTGGAAAATATTTAACAATCCTTTCTAAAACAGCTTTGAAGAGATTTTTACCGAGCTAGAAATGTTTTCCACCATATGTTTTCCACTAATTATAATAAAAATTCTCGCCTTGCTGTGATATGCAGTGACTTTCTATTTTGAGTACAAATGATGTCTTATTGTACCCCTATGTTTCTTGTTTGAAACCTTTGAAGAGCCCTACCCACTGAATATTTTGCAGATGAACTCCAGAAATGTAGATGTACAAAACTGAATTTGTGGTTCACTTTGAAAAAGCTCAAAAACCGGCTTTTTGGAATTCTTCTGTTTTATAGGCAGCCAAAGAGAATAAATGGTCAATGCTTTTTTTAATTGCATTTAACAAAGTTGTGTGGCTTTTCAGTTGTGCACTCTAACAGTAAGATTTCTTTAGTTTTCCACCAAATACTGCCGAAAATCCATTGAGGTGGCAGAACATACCCAACAATATCTTTTCTTTCAGAGAACATGTTTTCATTAACCTCTACAATTAAGCCTTCGGCATTTATTTATTTATTTTTTATTTAATTTTCCTGATTCTACATCTCATAGACACATATTTCTCTCAAATAATTGTTCCAATCTATAATAGTAATATCAGCCACATTGAATTCGTCTCTGCAAAATTTCACTGATGTCATTTCCTTAAACCAGCAAGCAGTAGATGAATCTTCTGGCAATAAATAGCATAAATAGCAATCTACTTGTCACAAACTAGTTGCCAACTCACATTTCCACTGATTTCATTCTTTCAAACATCAGCATGCCTTCTTTGATTAAGTCGAATAAAACTTCATTTAGCACCAATTTGAACTTTGACAGTTACTTGGCGATATATTAATTATACTCTTGTAAGAAACTCATAGCACCACTTTCATTGTTTGGTAGAACCAACAGACCTAGGACTGAAGTAGAGTCCAAAATCCGGAATCCATTATCCGGAATGATCTAAAATCCGGACCTCAAAATCACCAACAACATTTTGCTCGTAGGCTTTACGCATGTGCATTTCATTCCTCCCCTCCGCGCATAATAAAATATCTGGACAGTCCAGATTCTTAATTTCACTTCAACACTAAATAAAATAATTTGTTATTGAAGTAACAATCATTTTAGCATAAATTTGTACGATCAATAATTTGGCTCCATTGCTGCGTATCTGCCTGGCACACATCTCAAGCCAAAACATTCCACATAGATGCATCAGTGATCTGACGCCAACCTAGCGAATCATTATTTATTATAATTTCTTTTCATCACCGCACGTTTATCAAAACATGACAACTTGATTAATGACTCATGTAGCGATGCCTAAACTTTTTTTTTTTTTTATGTTAGTAATTGAATAATAAAGGAGTATGGTAACCTTTTATGTTGACATTATGCTTGGCGATGATTACAGATTTAAGTTTAATGCACTAAAAATTGTTGATGAGGAAAAATTTACCGAAAATTTCTCTCCATATGCTAAAAATAGATTTTGTTGATGATACTCATAGTCCCAAAGATGATCATGGATGCAAGGCTGACTGAATAAATTCCATAGCCTCATGATTTCAGCAAAGTGAAAATTATCCACGAAGACATCACCGGATAAGGCACATGGTTTATGAGGACCTTATAATATTCTGAAGCATTTTTCCCATGTGCAGTCACAATTCGATATGTCTATTTCTTGGTAAATCTCGCATAATATTTTTTATCTTGTTTAGCACAAAATAGGAGCAGAAATTTAGATAAAATTCATAGCATTAACTTTGAATTACTGTCACAAAAACTATAAAGAATAGTAATACAATAAGCAGAAGGCATATCGTAAACATTTAATTCAAACATTATTCAAATTTTGTAGTCTTACTTTTAGATGCCAAAACAATATCTGAAAAGAGTACATACTTGAAATACTTAAAGTCTGCTCATAATGATAATTATTTTATACAAACATATATACAGAACATAACTGACATAATCAAAATCAGTAAGTAAAGGACTATCAAACCTATTTCTAATTTTAACACTAACCTTTATATCATTTGAAACATCCGAAAATATGTTCCCAGGTACTCCACTTAATGCCATCAATAATTCTTGCAGCATTCTGCAAAAATAACACACAGTCAGTAGACAACAAAATGTACTTAAAAACTGTGTTATTTTCATTAAAAATTAAAAGGTACAAGACACAAAACTAAAATCAGTTTCAAAAGCATTTTCCATTTCAAAAAATGAACACCAAAAAATTTTTAATAAGCAGTGGATGAGTCTGAAAGACATTATAAAAACAAAAAACAGTATTTTAAGAATTAAGTACAAAATGAAAAAAAAAAAAAAGTCAAAAGGATAAAAAGCATTTACTTCTCATAATTATTCAGCAATTATAAAATATGACTACTTCTTGATAAACAGATCTGAAGATTAATATAAACAAAATAAATATGTACATTTAAGTTGTTAGCTAATATTAAAATAAATGACAAACTGAACTCTTTTTGTTGGAGCTCAGTATTAAAATCAATAACTAATAATGCATACAATATCAGGTTTTGACTTCAACAAGTGCAATAATGGTTTTGACTTCAACAAGTGCACTCCACACGCCCCACTACTTCTGTTTCCCCCCCCCAAGTTCAAATGGTGTTAGCCCAGAAGGGCTGTTAATTTCGTTTTGGCATTTTGCATTGATTCACTATAAATGGTGAAATAATTTTAAATTGTTGCCACTACATATTAGAACCCTGTAAAGTACAAAGTCCGTAATCTGGACGTCCATTATCCGGAATAATCTTTAATCCGGACCTCAAAGCCACAAACATATTTTTTTTTTTTTTTTAATGTATGCTTTATGCATACGCGTCAATGCGAGTTGTGAGGATGTGTCTCCAGATACATTAAAAGATACTTGGCATAATTTATGGCCAGTTACCATATTTCATGGTGAGAACGATGAAGATGACAGCTGCTAATTTCAAGGTTTTCGGACATCACAAACTAAAGGTGAAATTTTCCAGTTATTGGATTTTGTAAAAAAATGTGGAGAAGCGGTAATAAATGAAGACGATATAACAGAAGTTTTTCAGTGTGATGACAATGCCCCAACCATCAATCAATTAACGGATGGTATGGTTCTAGATCCAGAAAATACTGCTTCCGATAGTGAAGAAAGTGACAGAGAGGTTATTGAAAATGAAAAATATTTCGATTGACAAGTTAGTCGGTATTTTCGACACAGCAATTACAGGGCTTAAACAGTGAAACTTTGTAACTGAACAAGAAATGATGTCTGTTTATGGAATTAAAGAGAAAGTATTAACAGAAAAAAACAAAGCAACTTAAAGAACTTACATTGAAAGAAATGTTTAATAAAGTAAACAAATAAATATTAAGCTTTTTTTTTTTTTTTTTTTTTTTTTTTGTAAACTTTGATACCCTTTAGATCATAATTGCTCTTTATTTCACATTTTTAATTGTATAATTTCTGCATGCCGTCTTACCATATTTAAATTGATGATCTATAATCTGGAAATACGCCTAATCCGGAATCATCGAAGTCCCGACGAGTCCAGATTACAGACTTTGTACTGTATTATATTTAAAGAAATTAAATAATGAAGAATATGCATAAATGTATGTATGTTTCTCACACTGTGATAAAACAACGGCACTTAGAGCCATCAAATTTTCAATAATGTATGTCTCCACCCGAATATGGGCATCTAGAAGCAGAAATTTGAAATTTGTTTTATTATCTATATCATACTTTGTACAGCATTTATGAGTTTTTGATTATGAAACTCAACAATTTTAAAGTGAGCAAAAGCAACTCTGAACAGGGGGGGAACCATTTTTATCTCCAGCGCACGAGACTGTGTATCGGAAATTTTAAAGATATGCTCTTTTAAATAATCTGTGATATTGTTATTGCATTAAATTTTATAATTTAAGTGCAAAGAATATGATATTTAATAAATAAAGGTAACACACAAAATGCTTTAAAAAAAAAAAAAAAACCTTTGGGCATAAAATAAAATCTACAAGCTTTCAGGTTTCCTTTTTTTTTTAATACTTTCCTGTTAATGGTGTACCATTTACAGCCAAATATAAACATTAGCATGAAATACAACTAGATGGCATCAAATCTAAGAATACACAAAACTGTAATAACAGTAATATATCATAATACAGTACAATGTCCAAAATATGGACGTCCATCGTCCAAAATGGGTACTTTGGTATTATCACAACCACCTTTGTGCAATTTCGCAATTTTTTGGTGAAGAAAAAAATGGTAAACTCAAATCAGAGAAAGTTATGTATTTCATATCATACATGTTATTATGCATATCCCACATATAATTATTCCAATCTACCACAGTCTTACCGACCATTTTTAACTCCAAGCAAAACTTAAATCTCATTAAGTCTCTCTTTAAGCAGTCTATAAATCTGACTGCTGTAGTAAATGCCAGGCAACTTATTTTTGAATCAATTATCATTTCGAATGAAGACATGTTCATTACATGTTTTTACATTGCATTTCTAAAAAAGTTGCTTTCCAAAAAACATCATCAAATGTGAATCTGAACATTCCTGCCTGTGTGGCAAAATGTTATATTCCTACAAAAATTTCTCAGAACTCTCTTTATTTGCAGACAAATCTAGTGCATATATCAAAATTCAGCTGAAGAGGAAAAATATTACAATTTGCCTTTAGAGGTAATACAACCAAAACGGCATTTAAAAAACACTGACTTTGCTTATTTAAACTTAACAGTTATGGACATGGATACC